ATGGCGCTGTTCTCCATGGTCTCGCCTCGCGCTGAGTCACGGCCAATGGCACCCGGACGCCCGGACGTTAGCGGACCGCATACTGCAGTCCGTCTCCCGACGACAAAGTCCCGTTTGGTCGCGAGCCGTTGGCCCTGCTACAGTATTTGCCCTCTTTTGTTTTGATTTATCGTGAGCTCGAGCCACCAGAGAGTACGACGGTGCAAGTACCTACCGTGCTTTAGACGATCTGCTTCACCACGGAAACAGTTCGGACTTTAAAATATACCTACGGTGCGGAAGCCGGGCTCTCTGGTGCGCAGGGCCCGGGTCGGGGGCGGCAGGCGGCAGGCCCGTCGGCCAGCGGTGCGCAGCGGGTTGCCTATGGCGAGACCCGCGGGCGCCACGGCAACCTGCCCTGCGAGGGCCGCCGCCGTGTCAGCCGCTCTCTCCCCGCGTTTCATCCAGCAAGCAGCTCAATGCCTCCCCCCCCCCCCTCCGAACAAGCATCTTGATCGTGGTTAAATAAAGGGCAGTTACAGAGGGTGTATAAAGGGGGAAAGAAAACGCTCATAGTAAAGGTGCGGCCCCATTTTGGAGGCTCGTCGCGGACGCTGAAGGTGAGGCGCTCCGCCGCGCGGCCCTACTCCGTGCGCCGGAGACTCCACGACGCCGTGGCACGAGGCGAACGGAGTATCTTCTGCGCGGGGGCGCCGCGGGGGGCACAACTTTGGGAAAGGAGCGGGGCGGGGAGCCAGTGCAGACTCTAGGTCCGTCCGGTCCGCGCCGCGGTGACACCTGAGGACGGCGTCGACGACGCGGAGGCGGCGGCTGGGGCAAGTGTCGCTACAGCAAGTTGTTTGTTAGCGGCTGCAATCAGCCGGTGAAGGGACATTTCGAGTCTTCTTTTACTCCACCTTTTCCTCACATTCCGATTGCCCCCCTGGTATGTATGTGTAAGGTACATGAGCAGCGGGCCTGTGCGTGTGCGAGTGTACTGTATGTGGACGCAGCACCAGCAGCTCCGTCTCTCGTGGAGCTCAGGGCGGCCCTACTGTTTACCCGCCTGAAATAAACCTGCGCAGGGAGGCGGGGCGTGGCGGCGCGGCGGCGCGGCTGCAGCCAAGTAGGCTCAAGTAAAAGTGCCATTTCCGGAAAGCCGGCGTCGTTTAGTCGGGACCGGGCTTTGGTGGAAATGGCCCTCCCTCGGGGCCGGTATGGTGCTGGTGGAGGCGCGCAGCGCAGTCAGCTCCTGCCGGGGCCCGGCGAGGAAGAGCTGTCAAAGCAGATGTGGGGCGTGGCGTGGAGACCACTGTACAGCCCGCCAGCCTGCGCCGCTGAGTCAGCTGAGCGCCCTCATGATGAGCAGGCTCAGCCGCGCTAAGTGACGCGCTGTACTGTTTTTGGTCGCGGGCGTGACGGGCCCTGCTGTGGCCCGGGCCACCGCGCAGGCCGCGCCGCTATCGACAGCCCCCAGGACGCCGATCACGTCCCAGCAGGGCCGGGGGCCGCGGGCCACACGGTCGCGGGACCCGCGGCTCGCTCGCGGCGGCTGCAGCGGGGCCGGCTGCCGGGCTGGGAGGCGTGCGTGGGAGAGACGAGGTTCCCGCCCGCCGCCGCCGCCCGCCTCACCCGTCCCGCGCCGCACCTTGGTAAAAATACCCCGGCCGCTACGCCTTGCCGCGGCGGGCCTCTCGCTCGCTCCCACTCCAAGCTGGCCGTGACGGCGACCCGGGGCCCGCCGAGGCGCTGACGGCCACGTGTTGTCGGCTGGTCCAGCTCGGCTCTGTACAGATGCAGGGTGCAAACTTTTACCCCGCCCGAGGACGCCGACCTGCAGGGCAAGGCCGCGGCCGCGGCGGCGCGCAGGTTGTCTCATCCAGGGCTCGCGGATGGCGCTCGGCGCGGGGCGGGGCGGGCGGTGTGGGCGACCGGTCGTAGTCCAAATAAGGCCCGTGCTCGCCAACCAGCCTCGCGGCCACGGGCAGACGTCTGGTCGCGTCTGGTCCAGGCCAGGCGCGCGGCGGCTGCACTGCTGCAGTCCTCGAGGTCGCTCTCCCCGACACACAACGGCAGGAGTGGTGCGCGGTGCGGTGCAACCGACTGCTGCTAGTGCCCCGGCCCCGCGGCCCCGTGTGTCCCGGATGTCGTGCCAGCCGGCTGGCGGCGGCGGCGGCGGCAGGCGGTGAGGACGGCGACGCCGTCGTCGGAGTCCTGCTATAGCCCTGTGCTCGCGTATATGCACTGGGGCCCGGCGCGATAGTCCGGGTGCCGCCCCCTCCCCCTTTCCCTCTGGCCTCAGCTCTCGCGGTTCTGGGAACGCTGGCGCCGTGCTCCGCCCTGTCACATCCTCCCCCGCCTTTGGCCCGTCCGCGCCGGGCG